TTACCCTTGAGATTTTTAAGGATAGTGGTCCAGTTTTAACAGTTAGATTGACTGAGATCTTAGATAGAATCTGGGAACTGGGCGTAATTCCATCTGACTGGTCTCAGTCACTGATAGTCCCAGTCTACAATCACAGAGGAATCAGTCGAACTAATATAGTATCTAAAATGTTGGCCTTAATGATACTCCCACGCCTAACGAAAGCTCGTGAAGAACAGACTCGAGAAAACTAGGAAAAGGTGACAATGTTTTAAAAAGAAATAAACATAAAACTACTGAGTTACTCTACCATGGATATTGAAATTTCGACCAAAAAAAGAACTAAGTAGCTTGGTTAAAACATTGATTATGATGCACCAATAAACTAATCATGACAACTAATGTCACATACATCAACTGATTATTTTTTTTTGTAATGAATTCATAAAGATAAAATTAGCTATCCGACTATTTTGCTTAATAACACAAAGTCATGTCACGATGCAGCTACATATCCATCAGCATCTTCATTAGTCCAGCTGCTGATCGGGTAGTAATTCAAGTCTCGAAGGATCAATGTGGAACAATGTGAATGTGATTATGATTCGTTATATTTCTTAACAGAAACAGAAAAACCGAAAAAGTTCTACATCGCATATATATTTACAGAAATGAGAAACAATAATCATAATAAAAATAACTAAATTGGACAGACACATGTAAATTTAAGCTTATTGAAACACATTAATATCTACTCATTTAATTATATTTACATATATATATATATATATATATATATATATATATATATATATATATATATATATATGTTTATTATATTTACATATATACATATATATATATATATATATATATATATATATATATATATATATATATATATATATATATATACGGATATATTACAAAATTGGGATGGAAACAAAACAACTACGTAAAATTATTTATCATTAAAGAAAAATAAGCTGGTAACTGTTTGTCGAAATTTTGTATTCCCTAAAGATTACTAAAAATTGCTTATGAAAAACATCGACCAAACATTGAATGAATATTAGACAGACTAATGAGAAGATTAGAAACATTCCTGGTGTATGCTTGTGTGTGTGTGTGTGTTTCGCATAAGTACTTGTTCAACTGTGGTGAAAATGTTAACGTACAACCACTACTGAGCAAAATATCACGTCTATAAAACATTGACAGCAAAACATATGTATAAACAGACAATTTTAAATACCCTTACTTAATAATTCAACGATAAAGAAGACAACAAAGAACTAAGCCTTGTGATCTTTAAGAACTCGGTGATCACTGTTGTAGAGTATCTAAATACCTATCCAAGAAATTATACAATACTTCTTCAACTCAAGTCAGCTTAATATGAAAAGAATCTTCAAGATAAAAACTGATTTGATGCGAAAACTAACAAAGTGAACATTTGATCTAGTCAATTTGACAAGACATGTCATTGACTTAGTAGGTTTAAAATATAAACAAAGCAATGTTATCTTCATTTCGAATGAATAATTTTCCTGATCAATTATTCGCTTATAAAACAAATAAAATTTACAATTTATTCAATTTTCGCCTATTTAACAAGCGAATCCATGCAGAAACTTAGCTATCTCGATTACAAAAATAATATTTTTTTTTTAAAAAAAAGTTCTTAAAAACAGCAGGTTTAGGATAAATGATTGACATGAGCATGATCCTGTCAGATTAATTTGTTTTCCTTCTTATATCGATAACAAAGTGATGAAAAACATTTTTGTTCGGGAAGTTTACACTAACAATCTCAATGATTTGAAAGTAAACGAATGGAAGCATAAAATAGAAATTTTCGATTATTTTTACCACACAAATTATGCTTAATTTTCCAGATATGTTAAACAATAAAAAAGGATAATAATAAAATTTGTATAGATGAAAAGTTTGTGTTCAAATATGTTAAGTCGATCACAAGAATAGTCATTTGTAAAACAATAGCTGTTCGCGCATAATTTTTTCCTCTAATTGGATTTCCTGTATGACCTGTGTTTCCTGACTAGTTGTTATTGCTTAATTTTTTTTTTTTAGTTCGCTAATTTTCTGTTTGATTGACTTGCGTACGAATGTTGGTATTAAATAGGTTTGCAGTGCTTGTCCTATCCAGGAATAATAATAATAATATCTTAAAATTCAGATTTTATCTAAAAGCTAATTACAGACAGTGAGTTTAGTATTAAAGAATTATCTATCATACAAAATAATTCGTTAGAGATCAAGCACAAAATATTTCAATGTAGAAAACGGTAGTTAGATGAAACATTCGTACCATTAACAGCAACATCTGTCTTCCTACTATCAACTTGTACTTTTACCTATTATGTTTAGTTACGTAATTGTGATTATTGACTGATACACTGCATGGATTGGTTTAACATTTTCATATAACTATTCATATTTATTCATGTATATATATTACATCAACGTAAACAAAGACTACAAAAGAATAATTCGTAAAATTGTTAACTAAGTTTCGTTCTGTTCAAAACGATAACAAAAAGTTAACGGTCAAACCATACAGCTCAGAATAATTAACACCATATAGATTAGAAAATATCACCTAATAAATGTAATTTTCATCAAAAACTGACATTAACTGTAGATGTATATATTAGAAAATGAGAGTCTGTAGTGTACACTAATATGTCGAGCCCACATAGTTTGTCCCAGCATTTGGACAAACTAATCAACCTATTCTTTACGAGTCATTATTCGCATCTCTTCTGACTTTGTCTATTATTCACTTATGACCTTGGCTATTTTTACTTGGGCATATGTGTGCATTACTAGCTTCGTTTATCACATGTCTAGCTTGTTTTTGTCTGACTATGAATGCCTAATCATACCTCATTACATCGTGTTGGCCGACTTATCCGCTCAATTTGGCTTCAATTTTCCGCTTTTCATCCTCATATCTGTCTGCATGAATGGTTGCTTGAAATAAACTCACCCAAATGAATCCGTGTTTGGCTCCCTATTACCGCCGTCGCAAAAACGGGGTTCAGCCAAAGAATGATATACGGAAATTAGATGGAAGATTTATTTCACAGCATATTCAATTGTTCATCCAAATTTGAGTCAGATTCCGGGTCATAATTATTCGTGAAATTTAGGAATGCATACCAGTGAGTGCCGAATCAACAGTCTAAAAGTTACACGTTCGTGGGCGAGACCGAAGGTCTACAGTTAGACCTCTGTATATGAGTCCATGTTTCGGCTAACTCTAACACCAGTCAACACTCCAAATCAAGGCTGGCATACGTTTAACATTCCCCAGAATCCCAGATGATGAAGATTCATTGTTCTATTAATTGATTTGTCAAGCTTTCCTGATGTCCTATTCCTAATCAGAACATTGCTTACTTGGTGGAACGGAGAGAACTTTTGAACAATAAGCTTGTAGTGCCTCCACATATATTCCAGTTCGCTTACATCTAACTTGGTTAAGCCCTTTCGATTAATCTATTTAACCAGGCCATTCGCGTAGCAACAACTTATATGTACCCATTCGTTCTTGTTACTGTCTGGTTTGTATGAGCTCACATGATGCGTTCCACTTGTTGTTTGACCTTGACAATCATTCGTCGAGTTTATTCATGTGTGCCCATTAGCCTTCTCCAACGCGCTTCGCCGATTCGTTTGCTTCTTTCGCTCATTCTTTCGCCGCTTTTCAACTTCGCTATGTGGTGTGTCCAAAATATAGACGTATTCATTACTTCGAATTCGCCTTCTGATTTATAAACCGTCAGGCGCTATTCGAACACGCAGATAAATGGTCACCACAAGCTCCGCCTTTGGTTAGGACACAAATATCTCGCCTAATCCACAAGCAATGAAAGGACTGATGGACTGGTGACTGACGAAATCTCAGAACGGATACAGAAAGCTCGACTGACTTTTGCCAACTTGCATCGCTTGTGGCGTAGGTGAGATATCTGTTAGCTAAACAAAGGACAAGTACGCTGCGCATCAGCATTGAAACTTATCAGTTGAGGTAGTTGGGACAGGTGTTACGAATGCCTGACCACCGACTGCCTCGACGAGCTATTTTTTGTGGTGTAGGAGTAGGTTGGAAGAAAGCTAGGGGCAGCCAGACCGAAACATGGCGGAAATCCATGAAGTCACTGACAAGTGGACTGAGCCATGTTGGTAGATGTAGGCTACCTGGTTGGAGCCCGCGAGATGATAATAATCGATGGTTAGAAACCTTGAATGACATGGCTCAAAACCGTTTGCAATGGCGTAGGTGTATTTATACTCTTTGTGTTCTATGAAATTCTAACTTTCTGAATTAATCATCACCTCTATCTTTCTCTTTTGAGTTTATTTCACTAGATTCTACTTCTTGAATAATATCGTTGAACCCTAAAATTTTCGATTACTGCTAATACTTCGACTACCTCTACTAATATTGAATTTGAAGTGGCAAATGCGTCTCTGTGCTAATGTGGTGTAGCAACCTGAAGTGGTGTACGTACCTACGACGTTCTACGTTGTAACTGACTGACTGACTGGCTGACGCAAGTTGGTAGAAGCAAACCAAGCTTCCTGGACCCAAGCCAAGATTTTTTCAAACACCAGCTTATCAGAATCGATGAGATCGCCAAGATAAGTTCAACGGTCTATACGCTCAACTATTCATTCACTACTATTAATTCAATTGTATACACAGAATCAAACCTCATAAACAGTATAAACATGGTACTAAGTTTTAACTGTGCCCCATTTCACTAAACTCGTAATAGAAATTGCAATCATGAGTTACCAACCTGCTCAGTTATAGAGAAATCTTGAATGGGATTACACACTAAACTCGGAAGAAGGAAGAATGATTAATAAAAAACACGCAAGTAATAGAGAGAAAGAACATAAACATCATCATCTATGTATACACTTTTTATCCACAAATACTTATTAGAGAATATGCTATGGATTCATTTAACATACGTAAAACTTACTAAATACCACATCTGAGGCCATTTCGGATCACTAACTGGAATGTGTACGTCTCGTTTAACTCGAATCTTTGCAACTTGTTGTTCTAACCACACTACCTGTAAAAAACAAAATAATGGTAAATATGAAAATAATATAAGTCAAGTAAATGTACAATAAAACAAAAGTTAGTAAATACTACAATATAACCCAATGATTGAAACCTATTCTGATGAAAATAAATATTATTGTTTGTGTGAAATAATGACTTGATTGTTGCAGTACTTGACTTTTACTCACTACAGCTACATATTTAAATCAATACATCTCCGCTTAACTAGGATGAATTTTGCATGGGCTATTGAATATAACTGAATGCAATATCTACGTCAGTGATCTCTATGTTATTGGAGTAGGCGAATTCACAACAGAGTTTATAAACGTGAAGTCGAGTGCTTTGACCACTATTACAGCTCTCTTCAACTTGATAAATTATTGTTTATAACACATCAATCTGTAGTCATAAACTATACAATTTCCAACTCACTAACACAATATTCATGTATATTTAGTAACTGATTTCCTGTTTAAAAAGTAAGTTTATAAGTGTAATCATTAAGAAAAATGATAACGAAATACTTTTTCTCACTAAATCCATGAAACTAATAACAGATATGTTTGAAACAACAAGACTCAATCAACAAAATATCAGATGCAAATGCAATTACATTGAAACGTTTGAAGAGACTATACATATGATGAATATCTACTTAAAATTATGTTTCGAAATATGCTGACAGTGACATAAATAATGTAAAATGACGATCAGTTGGACAATACACTTTTCAAGTTCATTAATATTGAAAATGCTGTCTCCAATAAAAGTTTATTCATCCATTTAAATTAACTCCGCCTGTAGACCCTCCGGGGCTACTATCGATCCCTAATCGCTCCGATTACTGCTAATACTTGTACTACCTTGACTACTATGGGATTTAAATTGATAGTAGCATCTCTGTGCTAATGTGGTATGGCAACTTGGACTGATGTACGTACGTACGTACGTACGAAGTTCTGCGTTGTTACTGACTGAATGACTGATCCATTTAAATTCTTATATAGTGAAATTTCACTGTTTTCACTTGAACAATAGTCACATTTTTCAAAGAACATACTACTATTAGATTTAAATGATAAATGACATAACTAATCAGTAATTCATTCCATGTCAACATTTTTTTCATTAGTATCAATTGATGATCGTCTATTAATTTTGAACAATGAACTGTTGTACATAATTCAATAAATTATAGATTATCAACAATGGATTCCAATTTGTCATTGACAGGATACTATTATCGTATAATATAGGTTGACATTAAATAACCTTGATAGTAATATGCAATTATTACCAATAACTTGGAAAATATTGCAAAGACATTTATCATTCAATAGTTATAAAACAGAAATGAATAATGTGAATTAAACTATGATTAGTGTATGTGACTGAATAGGAACTAGTTATGCATAAATACATTTTGATGAAACATAGTAATGTAAATATTTATTAAAAAAAATAGATTAGTATGGTGTAAATTTAGAACAACCTCACAGACTAACAACTAAATTGTAATTTCAACTATACAAAATTGTTTATTTAGTAATCAGAAATTTAAAAAAAAGAAACATAATTAGCTGATATGCTACAACATGAACTAACGATTCATTGCAATCAGGGGGGACAATATTTATGTTGAAATGCCTCTTAATTCTGCAACCATGTAGTTCAACAACACAAAAAAAACAGAAATACGAATAACATTAGGGTATGAGTTAGTGAGTAGTAAAAATAATAGTTTAAAAAGAAACAGTGCTAATTAACCGATCGCATATTTAAAATTTTAATACACAGCCTGGCATAAATATATGAGTTAGCCCAAGTAGCTGTATCACAATTACGACTACAAAAATTCTAAGAAAAGAATAGTGAATGTTCCAGCAAATATATTTTACGCTAGGTCAGTCAAAAACAACAACATTGAACTTCGAACGTACGTATGTACATCAGTTCAAATTGCCATACCATATTAGCACAGAAATGCAGTTGTTACTTCAAAATCTATAATGGTAGAGGTTTTCGAAGTATTAGCAGTAATCGGAAATTTTAGGGTTCGAGAATATTATTTAAGAAGTAGAATCTAGGGAAATAAACTCAAAAGAGAAAGAGAAAGGTGATGAGAAATTCAGAAGGGTATGATTTGACAGAACACAAAGAATGGATGCACCTGCGCCATTGCAAACGATTTTCAGACATGTCATTCAGGGTGTCTAACCATCGATCACTATCATCTCGCGGACCCCAACCAGATAGTCGACACCTACCAACATAACTCAGTCCAGTTGTCAATGACTTCATGGATTTGTGTCATGTTTTGGCTTGGCCATCCCTTAGGCTAAGTCACTACAATATATAGGGTCGACCACTATGAAAAGGAAACATTTACGTTCGGATAATGATAGGTAGAGGTTAAAACGCTGATTCAGCTGTCAAACCAATAAGTCACAGGTTTACACGCCATTTCACTCACTTTGCTTTACACAAACTAGTGTAACCACGAATTTATAAATAAAAGCTCAATTAAAAATCCACATCATATTATAATGCTGATACAGATGGACGAGAAAATTTAATTTACATCAAGTTCTACAATCATACATTAAAATTAATAGTCCTAAGTGACTAAACTCAGGGCAAATACACTGCTTAAAATTATATCATATAAATTTAGGATTGTTTGTAAAATAAAATTGTTAATATTGGAGTGACGACTAGTATACAAAGTTAACTTGAAAAAAACTTTGCATGTTAAATGAAATTGTAAGATTGATGATCAGAATAAATTATAAGGGAGAGAAATAATTTGGTAATTATAAATTAGATTAAATGTTTAATGAAAGACTATATAGTGTGTGTGAAGCTCTATTAATTCAGTGCGAAATGATAAAGTGAGGTGAAGGGCAAAATAAACGCTAATCATGTTTTCGGAAGATTAATGGTGATGATTAATCGATAATAATAATAATTATTATTATTATAGTATAAAGATATGTAAATGTAAATAACAAAGGCAACTACAACTAGTTTGTATTAGAACTGAACTGTTTAATTTCTTAACTACACCCTTGCTTAGACACGATATAATGAACATTGCTAGAACTTCGACTACAATAACTTGTTCCACAAAAATTTGACTTGATAAATATATATTATAATCATGAACGATGCATTTTACCCGAAACCTGGATATTGGTTATTTGGACAAATAACTATAGAACCTGATGAAAATTCATTGAAAAGAATATTATTCGTTCACATATTAGCGTACTTAGTAAATGAATTCAATTAATTTGACACTGGATTGTCTTTAGTCACACATCACTAAAATAACAATGAGGTAGCAATTAAACTATCAGCAATAAAACACAACACTGTGGATACAAAAATTTACGTTACTAGAAAATAGAAAAATGTTATCTGACACAGTCGTATTCAGTACAGTCAGTCAGTCAACAACAACATAGAACTTCGTACGTACGTACATCACTTCAGGTTGCCATACCACATTAGCACAGAGATGCGATTGTTACTTCAAATCCCATAGTAGTAGAGGCGGTAGAAGTATTAGCAGTAATCGGAAATTTTAGGGTTCGGCGATGTTATTCAAGAAGTAGAATCTAGTCACATAAACTTATGAAGATAAAGATGGAGGTAATGAGGAATTCTGATGGTTAGGATTCGACAGAACACAAAGAATGGATGCACCTGCACCATTGCAAACGATTTTCAGACATGTCATTCAGGGTCCCTAACCATCGATTATTATCATCTCGCGGGCCTCAACCATGTAGTCTACACCTACCAATATGGCTCAGTTCACTTATCAATGACTTCATTTATTTGTGGCATGTTATGACTTGGCGGACCCTAGTTTTCTCCCAACCTATTCCTACACCACAAAACATAGCTCGTCGAGGCAGTCGGTGGTTAGACATACGCAACACATGTGCGGACCACCTCAACTGACGAAGTGTCACTACTTCATCTATTTATCAGCCACCCTTACCTAGGACCCGTTTGCTTACCACAGCATTTCTTACTCGGATTGTCCCACGATACATGAGCAATGCTTATGCGACACCTATGTTCGAAAACCAGCAACCTACGAATATGGTATTCAGTACAGCATACATTATGAAAAATTGATTGAAAATGTAGTATCATACAATTTTCCTACTACAATTTATTTACATGTAATGAAGGATAGGAAAATGTTTTAATTACAGAATCAGCAAGAATCTAGTAAATTCTAAGCACTTTAATAGTAGTAGATTTCAACAGTATATTTATATATCTTTAAAATTTCTATCACAGTGACATAGTCGATAAACATCACAACGCTTGAAAACTTTGTTCAAATTTTTACATTTTACCATCATAAATATTCAATAAAAATAAAATGTGAACTTTTAGCCTTATATTTCATTTTTTAAATTAATGTAGTCTTAATCATTCATTCATTCATTTTTCAAAATAATTGTTTTATTTCATTAAAACACAGCGAAACAACTGTTCTACTTTTTTTTAGTATGTGTATGTGAACAACGTTTCAATACAACAAAAAAAACACATCTTCATTTATGTGTAGAAATATCATTTGCCCGAAAAACACATTATTAGTATGCTAGAGTCTTTATTTTATTATTATTTAGAAAATTTTTTTTTAATTTTATTGGAATAGAGAGATATTATAAACTGAATGAAGAATAAATATTCTTTTCAATAAATGTTCACTTATAACAGCACAACTTGATGAACATTGAATACAAACAATATTCCTGCTTCAATTCAAAAATCTAATATATTTAAGGTACAGTGAAAGTGATATATTATACATTTATAAATATATACTTAAGATATTTCAAGATATCCATCCAATGAAGTGTCTGTCAAGTTAGCCAATAAATGTGCCACACCTAAACGAAGCATTCAAAATAAGTTTGCTTATTATGGGGAATATTAATAGTCATAGTAATAATAATAAACTGTTATCATAGTAAT